AAATAAATAATTTTTATTTAAGTTGAACACTTACTATTGAATGTTTCATTGAAATAAATATAAATGAAAATATATAAATTAGTTTGAATAAAATACTTACTGTTAAGTATTTCAATTGAAATAAATGTAAAATAAAAAAAAATAAAAGTATTTACTTATAGAAAATACTTACTGTTGAATATTTGATCGAAATAAACCTAATTAAAAAAAATAAATATTTTTATTTAGATCTAATACTTACTATTCAATATTTCATTGAACTAAATCTAAATAAAAATAAATAAATAAATTAGTCAGAATAAAATACTTACTGTTAAATATTTCCATTGAAATTAATCTAAAATAAGAAAAGAAAATATTTATTCAAATAAAATACTCACTATTGAATATTTTATCGAGATGAATCTAAATAAAAAAACAAACACCTTTTATTTAAGTTGAGCACTTGCTGTTGAATGTTTCATAAAATAAATCTAAATAAAAATAAATAAAAATGAATTTATTGAAATAAAATACTGTATTTCGGTTGAAGTTAATCGAAAATAAAAAAAAGAAATATTTTTATTTAAACAAAATACTTACTGTTGAATGTTTCATTGAGAAAAATGTAAATAAAAAAATAAATTTATTTATTCAAATAAATAGTATTAAACGAGACGATAGAAGGAATGTAAATAGAAAGAAATAGCATCAATTTTTTTAAATAGGCAGTGTCTATTCGATCATCAATCATCAGGAGGTGTCTAAGGATGACTTTACAGTACTTATGTTGACACGATGAAAAGAAATGTGAAACGACAAAAAAACGATGGTCGTAACGACAGCTGTTTCCGGTGGTGCGTGAACGACCATCGTAACGGATATCGTTTTTCGCCGTATTTCTTCGTTTTACGGCACACCGTAAACGATCGCCGTAACGGCAGTCGTTTTTCACCATTTTTGGATCGTTTCTGGTCGTTTACGGACCGTTCTATATGACATGGAAACGCATGATTCGATTATTCCCTTCATCAGCCACATAGACAGCGCCCAATTGATCGACAACGACTCCTCGAGGAGATGACAATTGTGTAAGACCATTTCCTTCTCCTTGACCACCAGCCACAACAATGCCTTGTTTTGCACCTTCCATCCATTTCATCACACGATCATTTCCCCAATCAGACACATATACTAAATGATCTTGATCGACGAATACGTATTGTGGGGAAGATAGTTGATTGAGACGATTTCCACTTCCATTGCCACCTACAACCGCTATTCCTTGAGATTCTCCTCTTCGATATCGTCTCACTTCATGTTTTCCATAGTCAACGACATAGAGAGATCCATTCTCATTCATTGTCAAACCCATACAATAGATGTTGGAGATGATTGTTTCTCCACTTGTTCCATTTCGACGAGGCCATCGAATCACTCTTCTATTCCAATTATCAGAGATGATGAGACTATCTCTCTCTTTGCCGACAATCACATCAACTGGGTTAGATAATTGATGATCTCCACTTCCTTGTCCATTTCCACCTGCAACCACTTGGCCACTCGTTGCACCCCATTTCCATTCCACAATACGGTGATTCTCTTGATCAGCAACATAGATTGTTTGATCATTATCAACATACAAACCCAATAGGTATGAGAGTTGATTGATTCCATTGTCTTGTCTATTTCCTCCAGTCGCAGTGAGATGATTTTGTTGCCATCGAGCATTCGGATGAATGTTGATGCTGGACGGACAATGTAACTAGCTTCCTGAAACAGTGACAAGAAATTATAAAATAAGAAAAAGTGGAGAAAGAGAAAAATTTTCTCTCCATAGAATTTGGTTTCGCTATATAAGATGGCAAAGTCTTTTTTAGTCAAATTCTCGACTTTGCATGCAACAATTGTTTTGTTTTAAATATTTTGTTCAATTTTAAAGTTATCGATCGCAATGCTTTCGGTCAGCGATGTATGATTCCTTTATTTTGCTCGTAAATCCGAGCTTTCTCATTTGTGTGTTCGAGGTTAAATTCATAAGATTTCTATACAAAGAACACTGTCTCAACATCGCTCATATTCTTCGCGGAAAGAAATTACGATCAAGTATAAAATTATGCGTACGATCGATTTTCAAGAAGAGTAGGAAAAGAGAATCTTCTTGTTGAAAATTCAATAGTCATGTCAAACAAGGATCAATTCTAGATGATTGAACAATAGCTGTACAAGTCTATGCTTTATTTACAATTCAAATGTCTAATATCATTGTCTTGTTCAAACTTTTGAATTGAAAAGGTATTTTCTGAACAATGGCATCATCAATAATAAATCTATTCAAATACTTGTTCCATAAAATGAAAAGATTCATTATTCAATAAGTCATTGCCGTATCTTGTTCGTCAATTACATTTATTTAATTGTGTTAGTATAAAAAAGTATGAACCGATGGTAATTTTTGATATTATTTAAAACTATACATAATTATCAGAAAACGACGTTCTTCATTTTGAATGAGAATGGTTGAGAGCGATAGGCATTTTTAATTTGGATGCAAATGATTTGTTGAACGATTTTAAGAGGAAAATCGATCGGATGGGTCATTCGTTAGAAGGACTTTTCTACATATGATATAGAGATAAAACCAATTGAGAATTCTACAAACTAAATCATAATTAGCAATGAATAAATTGAATTTCTTTAGTCTCGCTTGACTTGAAACTTGAAACGAGATTTGTTTGAAGTTTGATTTGTTTGGCTCATGTTCACAACTACTTATCTGTCAGTGGTCAGATGAAATTTATCTATCTGTCTAGCTCAGTTTGTGATACTCTTGCCAGAAGGATGCACCAGAAAAACTGATATTGTTATCAGAGCCGGAATCGAACCGAATTTTTTGGATTCCAGTTCGGTTCAGTTCGACTCGAACCAAAACGAACCAAAGCAGTTCAGTTTTAGGCTCTGACTGTTATAGAGATGCGATATGTTGAATACAAAAAAAAAAAGAATAATTAGCAAAGTAGAATAAACTTATTGTTTTATTCATATGTTACATAGATAGACGGCTAATGTGGATTTATTTTTATTTTCACCTCGTATTTTGACAATTTCTACTGTGAAAATAAAAAAAATTCGATAGCTCATACTACGGGATTGCGAGGGCTGGACCATTTCCCCCTTTCAAAGAGAAATTGTTCCACTTCAAGCTGAAATCGTTAAACCACAAAAAGTCAGAGAGAAACGCTTTTAAACGACATATCACTTTCATTGTTTAAATAGCAGGTGAAATGCTTCATCCATTTCTCTATTTATAAAGAGAAATGGAATTTATTCAAAGAGAAATCAATTATTTTATTTTGTCTCTTATATAGGATTTTCTAGCAGATATGGATTTTTTCCAGCAGAAATGGTTATTTCTTGAGCAGAAATTGTTCATCCATATCTCCAGTTATAAGAAGCAATGGAAATAAAGTGTAGAGAAATGGAGTAAGAGAAATGAAATTCATTCAAAGAGAAATCGATTATTTTTGCCTCTTATATAAGATTTTCTAGCAGATATGGATTTTTTCCATATGAAATGGTTAAAATAGCTGGTGAAATGCTTTAACCATTTCTCTTTTTCACTGGGTAATACATTATATGTATATATCCCCCTGGAAAAAAATAGTTAGACTCGGTATTTCGAATATATTTCCACTATAAGACCACACTTTTTTAAAAGTAATTACATATTCCGAAAGCCCGTGGAGTTTTCTATCACTCTGTATAATTAGGTTTTAGTTTCGACCTATTCATTATCAAAATAAATTGAGAACAATGAAAGCACCCTCGTGTCGAGATTCCCCATAGACAGGAT